CGACCCACACCCAATTCGCGTTGATCAAACAGTGGCCTATGCAACAGAGAGATTTTATTTTTCATCAGGATATTGGAAGAATAGGAGGGATTGAGGTCAATCACTGGCACTTTTTTATTTTATTTTAAATGGTACACTTTATGTTGAACTATTTATTACGTTGTTGGTGCAACTGGCACTTTATGTTGAACTGTTTATTGTTTTGGCCAAGGTTATTGAGAGAGTTGGACTGAAATGTATTAGATTTTTTAAATCAACTGTTGGTAAATCAACACAGTCTGTTATGGCCTTTGAAGCAACAGAGAGATGTTTTCTAATAGTCAGGGTTTCCAATGTTCTGAATGTACTTGAAAGTATTGTGTTTACTTAAAAAACAAAGTGTTATAGTTTACAGAAGGTCTACCTACCTATAGGCTACCTGAATCTCTGAAATGTACTATATTCCTAAATATGCTATTGCTACACTTTATGGCAAAAATTGCACTTTTCTGTTGGTCTTGGTTAAGAACCTCCTTGATAAAAATAAACAATGTTTTGTTGCTTAAGCTTATGTATTCAGTCATTATTCAATGGTATACTAAAATCCATCTGAAAAAAATTGCTTCTCACTGTTCTTAGGTCAAATATTTATATGCGATTAAAAATGCGATTAATTGCGATTAATTAATTACAAAGCCTGTAATTAATTAGATTAATTTTTTTAATCGAGTCCCGGCCCTAATATATATATAATATATATATGGCATTGGGATATATATTTTTTAAATCCTCTGGAGCAGAGAGAGGAGCTGTGGATTATTGTTATTAATTAATGCATCAGTGTTTCTTAGGGTCAAAAACACTAAACTCAAAGCTTAAAATGAAAGCGTTCAGTTAATTTAATAAAAGAGCTCATGTTCAATGTGAAAAGTGACAGTAGATATAGATTAGTTGCAATTTGGTGCTAAATATAAAATAAAAAATAACATTTTTTTAAACACCTTGAATTTCAGGGGGGGTGCGGGGCGCAGCGACCCTCCAAGAAAATGGTAGGGGAAACACTGGTATATGTGTACTCTCAGTATGTGTGTACTCTCAGTATGTGAGCTATATGTGTACTCTCAGTATGTGTGTACTCTCACTATGTGTGTACTCAGTATAAATACTCACGCTGCGGTACATGCGAGCGGGGTGTGGCAGCAGCAGCCTGTGGACGCTCTGATTGGTGGAGAGCAGGATGATGACGTTGTTGAGCGTCTCTGTGATGGAGACTCCGCCCGGCAACAGAGAGCAGTGACACAGCTTCAGTCTGACAGCATTGTTCAGCAGGTTGGTGTCCAGAGAGGTCTCCACCAGCTGCACACTGTCCCCTGAGGTGCTCCTACACACACACAGTCGTCATCATCATCATCATCATCATCATCATCAATATTAGTTATCATTGTCTCACCAGTGAATGAATCTGTTGCTGGTGACGGACAGCAGCTTCCCGCTCTCCTCATAATGGAACGCTCCCCCACTGTCCGGAAACTTCACTCCTCCGGGGAGAGCGCTCACACCTGCACACATTAACACACATTAACACACCTGCACACAGGTAACATAGGTATAACATGTTCCCAACGTTAGTATTGTTTATGTTGTGTTTATTCAGCTGATTTTCCTTCTACACCTGTAACATTTTCCCTGACACACACAGGATCTGATCACTGTTGATAACACTCAGATACCCCGATGTTAGCACAGAAGCTAACGGTATAGGATACTGTTGACAACACTCAGAGACCCGGATGTTAGCACAGAGGCTAACAGCGTGATAGCTGCCGTTGGCCTGCTCACAGTTTAATATAGAGTCTATAGAGTCTCTAACTCAGTGACGGAGCTTTAGTCAGTAACGGAGGACGGTGTGTTAGTGGTTCTGTTACCGGGGAGGCTGAGGCTGATCTCTCTGAAGCGGAGAAGAGTTTCCCTCTCGAACCCGCAGATCTCCGTGAAGCTGCGGAGCGCCATCTTTACTCTGACCTCACTGCTTTCAAACTCTTAAAGAGACAGACGCTGTATAGAGTGGCAAAGTAACGCCCATCTACTTCCGGTCCATGGGACCTTATTTCGGAAAAATGATACATTGAAGTCAATGAAGGCAAGGCAAGGCAAGTTTATTTATATAGCACCTTTCAACACAAGGCAATTCAAAGTGCTTTAGAAAAAATGAAAGAAATTAAGAATGGCATTTAAAATCAGTCTTTAAAAAGAAAAGATAATAAAATAAACATTAAAAGAAAAAATACATGGATAAAAGTTACAGTGCAGTCTAAGATATGAATAGTTCAATTAAAAGCAGCGACAAAAATAAAAGTCTTCAGCCTGGATTTAAAAGTAGTAAGAGTTGCAGCGGACCTGCAGGTTTCTGGGAGTTTGTTCCAGATATTTTGAGCATAATAACTGAACGCTGCTTTAACATGTTTAGTTCTGACTCTGGGGACAGAAAGCTGACCAGTCCCTGAAGACCTGAGAGATCTGGATGGTTCATCATTTAGCAGGAGGTCAGAAATGCATTTTGGTCCTAAACCATTCAGTGCTTTATAAACAGCAGCAGTATTTTGAAATCTATTCTTTGACACACAGGAAGCCAGTGTAAAGACTTCAGAACAGGAGTGATGTGATCCACTTTCTTAGTGTTAGTGAGGACTCGAGCAGCAGCGTTCTGAATCAGCTGCAGCTTTCTAATAGATTTTTTAGTGAGACCTGTGAAGACACCATTACAGTAGTTGAGTCTACTGAAGATAAAAGCATGGACAAGTTTTTCCAAATCCTGCTGTGACATCAGTCTTTTAATCCTAGGTATATTCTTTAGGTGATAGTAGGCTGATTTAGTAACTGTTTTAATGTGACTGTTGAAACTCAGGTCAGAGTCCATGACTACACCTAGATTTCTGGCTTTATCTGTTGTTTTGAACATTGCAGACTGAAGCTCAGCGCTGACTTTTATACGTTCTGCCTTGGCTCCAAAAACCATTACCTCAGTTTTATCTTTGTTTAATTGGAGAAAGTTCTGACACATCCAGTCATTGATTTGTTCAATGCACTTACTCAGTGTTTGAATTGGAGCATAGTCTCCTGGTGAAATTGTTACGTAAATGTGTGTGTCATCTGCATAGCTATGGTAACTTATTTTGTTGTTCTTCATTATCTGAGCCAGCGGTAGCATGTAGATGTTAAAGAGAAGAGGCCCCAATATGGAGCCTTGAGGTACCCCACATGTAATATTTGTCAACTCAGATGTGTAGTTACCTATAGAAACAAAGTTGTTTCTGTCCTTTAAGTAGGATTCAAACCAATGTAGAACTGTTTCCGAAAGTCCCACCCAATTTTCCAGTCGGTCTAGTAATATGTTGTGGTCAAGTGTCAAACGCAGCAATGAGATCTAATAATACTAACACTGAAGTTCTGCCACTGTCTGTGTTTAAGTGGATGTCATTGAAGACCTTTACTAGAGCAGTCTCAGTGCTGTGGTTTGGACGAAGTCCTGACCGGAACACATCGAAACAGTTATTTAAATGCAAGAAATTACTCAACTGTTGAAAAACTACTTTTTCAATGATTTTACCTAGAAATGGGAGTTTTGATATGGGCCTGTAATTGTTCATTACTGAAGCGTCTAGATTATGCTTTTTTAAGAGCGGTTTAATGACTGCAGTTTTCAGGGCCTGTGGAAAAACACCTGAGTGAAGAGAATTGTTTACTATATGAAGTAGATCTGAGGCCATGCAAGGAAAAACATTTTTGAAAAACCCTGTTGGAATAATATCAAGGCAGCAGGAGCAGGATTTCAGAAGTTGTATAATGTCCTCTAGGTTT